GCACAACATAGTTCTTGTCCCACACAGGCTCTGTCAAGCTGGGGATGGAAGAAGTCCTTGTGGACTCAGGCCGTTCTGGGCAGGTAGCAGACAAGTCCTCGACTAGGTGCAGCTTCTGTAATGAGCCACAGACCCTTCTGGAGCCACATTCCCTAGTCCTTGGTCCCTGACAGAACATTCATAACACACCCACTCCTGGGTGGCAGGACTAGAGACCTGGAGATGGCTGAGTGCGGGGCACGGAGGCAGAAATCAGGCTGAGTGTAGTAACTGGAGAATCAGGGCTCAAGGCGGGAGAGCAGGAGACCAGCTACTTGCATGCTTTGACCCCATCAGCACCTGGTGCCTTTCTAGTTTTCCAGGTGCCTTGGCTGTTGGGGCCTCACTCTATCTCACCTTACCCTGGCAGTTCCTTCAGGCAGCTAGTCCTCTTCATGGCAGCAGTGCCACACAGACTTCTCCTCCCTTGAGTGCAGCCCAGTCTTCTTCTGCATCTTGCCAGTGTTCTTCCTCCTCTCAGTCTTCCAGTTTGCCTTTTAGCTCTAGCTCAGCCATTCCCACAGCTGTGCCTGCAAGGGTGGAGGCGCTGGCATTTCCCCTAGCCTCCCCACAGGTTCTAGGTGTAGCATGCTGAGAAAGAACACCTGCCATGCCGGAGAAGGTGATCTGCCCACTACACTGGCCAGCCCCGGCAGTGGCAGGCTCCCCCTCCCCCTCACAGGAATGCAGATTGTGCCTTCTCTTTCAGCTCCTTGGAATTCCCAGTAATTAGAGAAAGCAGGGTTGTTGGTCTTCAAAGCAAGGAACCACCATCACTTACCCATCCTTCCTGCAGCCTGAGAGAAACCATCACCAGGTGGAAAGCTGAAAGACACTCCCCTTTCCCATCTACTTACAATTTAGAGGCAAGACATGGAGGTAGCAATTTCCATGAGGATGCACACACTGACACAAAAACCACATGGCATTATATTGATTCTAATAACCCTGAACCAGCTCCCAATTAAATTCAGCAGTATAGCTGCACTCTCAGCCCCCAATGTAGGTTTCATTTTAACACAACACAAATCCACTCCAAATCATTAGGACTAAGGGGTGTTGTGTTAGCCTACCTTGACCTCACAACTCTTAAAATACCTATATAACACTACAAGACAAAGCTACATGTAGCAGTTTAGACTGAAATGTCTTCAGAATGCTGATGACAATAATCTCTCTCTCCCTCTCTGATTTCGTCTTTAGATGTTACAGAAACTGTGTAACTCCTAACACAATTCCAGGATAAGATGGGTTTAAAAAATTTCAAACTAAAATTTAGTTGAGAAAAGACTTAGGTATTGATAGTTTTCATTTCCACATATATGAATATCAGTTTGCAACCTACTATAGACTTCCATTCTCCCACAAGAATATTCTTTGATCTGTTGCTGTTGCATTATGTTCATATAGTAAGGCTTGCTGGAGCATGTTTTATCCAAATTTGGTGTCTGTAACTTTTCATAAAGAAATGGAATTGTTTCTATTGTTCATGTCCTAATTACACTCCAGTTTTACTATTTTAATACTTTCCTGCTAGACTGTCTTTTAAGGTAGTTCCGACATTTATTCAGGTCTAGGGTTTTGACTACAGCCTAGCCATTGGATCATACAATTTCCATGTTGTATAATCTTATTAGTGATCTGTTTACTTCCCAGCTCAATTCAGGATAATAGTCTATGGCTAGAATTCTTTAAGAACATCTACAACCTTAGAAAATTATTGGTGGCTTAAAAATTGTTTCAGGGAAACTATATCCCATCACAATTAGAAGGCATGCGTGATGCCACTTTAGTGTAGCACCATCAATTTTTGGAATCACCTCCTTAGAAATTTATTTATTTATTTGATATAAACCCTGCCCATCTAGACCAAAGTCTACATAAACCTTGCCCATCCAGACCAAAGTCTACTCTGGGCAGCTACAGGTAACTATCAAATGTATTCTCGTTAGTTTGTTATGCACTCACACAGGTTATTAAGTGGTTGCTACTGCAGCTGGAATGTTTTAATTGACGAATATGTTTTAATTGTTGTTACCTCTATCTTAAATACTATTGTTTTGCTGTTTTAGAGCTACAGTTAGTTTGGAATACAAGGTCACCAAAAAGTTACCCATATATTAAGTCTACAACCCTATATTTTCTCTCACACATTCACACAAACGTATAATGAAAATCAATTAACTAACGAGATTACAAAGCTAATTCACATTAGTAGGTTAAGTAGCAAAATGAGATCATTAGGGAAGTTACTAAACGAAAACATTTTTGCGGAGGATCTGATGGGACCCAACACTGAAAGCTAAACAGACCCTTCTGGCTCAAAGATAACACCAATCCGTTATCTTTGGACAAGTCTGCAACCATGCTTCCAATAAGCAGGGCTAGTCCTGTATGTGGCAAGCAAGGCAGCCATTTCAGGAGGCAGATGCTGATGGGCAGAGAGCAGCAGAAGAGCAACTCCATGCCCAGAAGCGATCAAAGAACACATTATTTTTCAGCCAGGGTAGGAGTTGAGCGAGAAGCTGAAGTCATAGGAAGGAAGGCTATTTCGCTTTCTGCAATGCGCAGGTGGGGGACCTTTTTTTCCAAGCGTCCCTCACACCCCGACCGCGCTCTACGTCACGGAAAACTCAAAAAGGGGAAACCTCAGAAGAACGAGTTTCCTCTACGCGGCTGTTACGCGCACAGCGGGCTCTCCGCCACGCCTCCCTGCCACAGAAGTCCGCAGACTGGCTAGAAGGGAAGACGACGGTAGAACGCGTCCCACGCGCCGGATAGGGCACTTCCGAGTCTGTTTATGGATTTCCCCCCCCCCTAACGAAGTGGGAACTCCGTATTTTAAATCTGCGAGAACTATCCGGAGAATTTAATGCAGGAATGGGTCTTCAGTGCACCTGTCGCTAACAGCTGCGTGCCTCTTGCCCTCAGACAAAGGGAGGCCCTGGTGACAAAAAGAAATGTCATTTTTTTCAGTGTCACTTCCACTGGCAAGCGAATCCACAATTTTGACATTGCAAGAGTGCTAATAAGACGAGGGCAGTGCGATTTACATGTAGTCGGAAGTCCACTGTTCAAATATTGCTGTTTGAGAACGTCATTTGTAACTCTTCGATTTAGTCCAGTGTTATGATACCCTTACTGGAATGAGAGATTCTCAAGACAGACCCGAACTCTGGAGAGTAGGGTTCGAATTCCCACTTGGCCGTGGAAACTCACTGGGGGAGTGGAACTGGTAAAATCACTCGGGGCTCTCCGCCACGCCACGCCTCCCTGCCACAGAAGTCCGCAGACTGACTAGAAGGGAAGACGAGCGTAGAACGCGTCTCACGCGCCGGATAGGACACTTCCGAGTCTGTTTGTGGATTTTTTCCCCCCCCTAACGAAGTGGGAACTCCGTATTTTAAATCTGCAAGAACTATCCGGAGAATTTAATGCAGGAATGGGTCTTCAGTGCACCTGTCGCTAACAGCTGCGTGCCTCTTGCCCTCAGACAAAGGGAGGCCCTGGTGACAAAAAGAAATGTCATTTTTTTCAGTGTCACTTCCACTGGCAAGCGAATCCACAATTTTGACATTGCAAGAGTGCTAATGAGACGAGGGCAGTGCGATTTACAACATGTAGTCGGAAGTCCACTGTTCAAATATTGCTGTTTGAGAACGTCATTTGTAACTCTTCGATTTAGTCCAGTGTTATGATACCCTTACTGGAATGAGAGATTCTCAAGACAAAGACGAGGGCAGTGCGATTTACATGTAGTCGGAAGTCCACTGTTCAAATATTGCTGTTTGAGAACGTCATTTGTAACTCTTCGATTTAGTCCAGTGTTATGATACCCTTACTGGAATGAGAGATTCTCAAGACAGACCCGAACTCTGGAGAGTAGGGTTCGAATTCCCACTTGGCCGTGGAAACTCACTGGGGGAGTGGAACTGGTAAAATCACTCCTTAAATACAGTAGCCCCATGCCTTTAGCAGGTGTCACTGCGACGATATAATCGATGCTACTGACTTCGTTTGTCAGCGGTGTTAATGTGGCTGATCAGCGTACAGTATCTCATTTTGAAAGCCCTATTCGGGTCGCTCTAAGTCGGTTCCGACTTGATGGCACGGAACACGCACACACAGACACAGAGAGAGAGAGAAGAATGACAGTAAAGTAGTATACCCTGCAATTTCATCCATTGGGTCGAGAATGGGATTTACAACACTGATCGTCCAAGCGGGTTTGTGCTAATTTTGATTCCTTCCTAATTGTGGACAGCCTCCCTATGAAATCATTCTTTTATTAAAAGCTACTCCCTTAGCCTGCCTTCCTGTCCAAATGCCGAACCTAGGAGGAGAAGCTTCGGGCATCATCGGCTATGTTTAAAAAAAAAATAAAGGTGGAATCCAATGTCCATATACCACGAAACACGAAAGTTCTTTGTCTATCATTAGCAACAAACTTTCCCTTGTTGTATACAAGATTAAAGCGTGGGGAGAACGGGCGCCCCTCCGGTTCGCCAAACGTAAAATTCACGGACGGCTTCGCGCTGTTTTTCCAGCCGCCATCCTTACTTCCGCTCCACCGGAGCACAAGGAGGGGAAAAACCGGAAGTTGAGCCACGCGATCTCTCTCGATCTCTCTCTATCTTTCCAGCGCTCTGTGCAGTCGAGTCCGCCTCTTGTGACTGACGTCGGTTCTTCTCCAGGACGGGAGGGGGGGCGGCGGAGTTGTCGAGGCGGAACGAAACTTTTCGTGCCTGAAGACCCGCCCGCCGGTGGGACAGAGGAGCGGGTGACGCGCGGGTTCCAGGGTGCCGAAAGAGAACAAAGGCAAGAGGAGCGGAGGGGGGGAGAAGGTAAAGGAGAAGGGGCAGTTTCCCTTCCCACCGTGGAGATCCCCCTCCTAACAAGCAATGGTTTAGTCCGGAAGAGGAAAGGGGGCGGGGCGAGGCGGGGGGGAGTTCCCGCGCGAGGAGACTAGGCCGAACTCGGCGCTCGGGGTTTGGTCCTGGCGCCGCCACCGCCTCCTCCTCCTCCTCCTCCGTGGCAGCTGCTTTGAGAGACGTTTCGTGAGAACGGAGGGGGGGAGGTCAAAGTGGAGAGGCGGAGAAGGCAGCGCACCTGTGAACGCGCGGCCCGGGTGAGGAGAACCGCCAACTCGGGACGCCCAGAAGGCGCGGGGAGGCGGGTCGGGGGGGGGGCGGGGGTGGTGGGGCCCTGGGAGGTGGTGCCGGGGGGTGATCTTGGTTTTCCCAGGTGAAGAGAAGAAGCGAAGGGCGTCCCAAGCAGAGTACTGGGGGGAAAAAAGTGCAGTCGCGGCGGGTGGGAGGAAAAAGTTGGGCTCCTCCTCCTCCTCCCAGTCGTTTTCCCAGGAGTCGCCTTTCTGCCCGGGTGCGAGTGAGGAGGGCCGGGTTTGGGGGCCTCGAGGGGGCTGCTCGAACAGAGGAGTCGCGGCTGCACTCCGTGTTTGTGAGTAGCTGCGATCTCCTCTTATCT